ATGTATGTATGTATGTATGTATGTATATATATATTTATATATTTATATTTATATGTAGGTTTATATGTATTTTGTGCGAAACTAATTATCACCCTGTAGTTTAGTATATGCCACTTTTTTAAACATAAAATCTCACCTCATGATCTTTCCCCACATAAAAGCAACATTCACCAACATTTATTGCCCTGAAGCTCACCATATGTATCGCTTTTATATCTACGTGAAATACACAGAGTATAGTCATTTACTTCCATATGAACCTCACATTCAGTAGCAATTTTCCCCTGACGCTCGCCACACATGTTGCTTCTGTTTCCACATGAAATACACGTATACAAGATTTATTTTCTCCCCGAAGCTCACCATGAATATTGCTTTTATTTCCACATACTAACATATACAACATACACCCCATATGCAACATACATACAACATACACTTCCACATAATAACATATACAACACATTCAAAATACACCCCATATGCTAACATACACCCCTACATACTAATATATACAACATACATTCCCACATACTAACACTTATAACACACACACAACATAGACTCCCATATACTAACACGTACAACATACACCCACCCCTACATACTAACACATACAACACACAATTCTACTTCTCCTACATACTCCCACAGCAACATACACAATATACACCTTCACCTACAACACATACAACACACACACATACACACCACCCAGATATATATATATAAATATTTGATCTGATAGCGAGATATTAGATATAGATATATATAGTTATATATATATATTTTATTAGTCTGTGTATATATATATATATATATTATAACATATAGATATAATAGATATATATATATATATATCTATATTATACTATTTATACATAATACAAATGTACATATACTTATATGATATATACACATACATATACACAGTCATGTATATGTACACATGTATAGTGTATATATATGTATTTCTATTCATATATATTAGGTTCATATGTAAATTGTTATTAGTCATAGATTTCATATATAGATTCACATGGTTTGTTATATATGTATATGTGTAGATATACTTAGATGCATATATTGCATATATATACACAAACACAAACACATATAATATATATATATATATATATATATAATATAGTATATTTCTATATATATACTTATATTTATATTATATATATATATACGTATATATATATTCGTATATATATATATATATAGATATATTTTGTAGATTATATATATATATTATCTATATATATATATCAATGTATATATGTAGTATGTATGTATGGTGTATAGATATATTTTATATATTTATATTTATATGTAGGTTTATATTTGTATTTTGTGCGAACTACTTCTCACCCTTGTTATAGTTTAGTATATGCCACTTGTTTAAACTTAAAATCTCACTCATGATCTTTCCCCACATAACGCAACATTCTAAACATTTATTGCCCTGGACGCTCAACCATATGTATCGCTTTTTTTATCTACGTGAAATACACAGAGGATAGTATTTAACTTCCATATGAAACCTCACATTCAGTAGCAGAATTTGCCCTGACGTCGCCACACATGTGCTTCTGTTTCCACATGAAATACACGTATACAAGATTTATTTTCTCCCCGAAGCTCACATGAATATGCTTTTATTTCCACATACTAACATATACAACATACACCCCATATGCAACATACATACAACATACACTTCCACATAATAACATATACAACACATTCAAAATACACCCCACATGCTAAACATACACCCCTACATACTAATATATACAACATACATTCCCACATACTAACACTTATAACACACACACAACATAGACTCCCATATACTAACACGTACAACATACACCCACCCCTACATACTAACACATACAACACACAATATACTTCTCCTACATACTACCACATGCAACATACACAATATACACCTTCACATACTAACACATACAACACACACACACATACAGGATACTCCCCCACATACTAAACATATAAGATACACCCCGTCCCACATACAACGTACATTCCCGCCCTCACATGCAACATACACGCCACCCTACAGGCAACATACACGCCGCCCCCACATACAACATACATTTCCGCCCCCACATGCAACATACATCACTCCCACATACAACATACATCGTCCCCACATACAACATATAGCCCGCCCCCACATGCAACATACACGCCGCCCCCACATGCAACATATACCCCGCCCCCACATGCAACATACATCGCCCCCCCACATGCAAATACACCCCGCCCCCCACATACAAACATACACCCCGCCCCCCACATACAACATACACGCCGCCCCCACATGCAACATACATCGCCCCCACATGCAACATACACCCCCGCCCCCCACATGCAACATACATCGCCCCCCACATGCAACATACACCCCCGCCCCACATGCAACATACACCCCGCCCCCACATGCAACATACATCGCCCCCCACAT